AATCTTTAAAAAATGCTCCATTTCAAATTTTGTCAGATTTATAGAACGTTATGAATCGCTTTTACTAGACATTCAAAACTGGTTATGAACTTTTAATAGGGTTCTTTTCTGGCACATGGACTTCTCTGTTTTTTTGCTCATTGATGCTTGATCTTAAAAATGTCATCAGTCATTTGGTGCAATCTTTGGGAAAATTCATTAGCTTTCTTATAAATAACAATTAATATTGTTTATGGAGTAGTGTTATACACAGACAGACTTTGTTAGCATTGAAAATTATAGCCTCTAATTGTTTTGTTCTAGAGCCTGATAAAGGTAACTTGGTACAAAGAGTATTGATTCTTGGTTTCATCAACACATCTTGATGGTCCTTGATAATGAATTTTCCTTGGATTCAAACATTAGGATTCAAATTGTTTACAGCCAGTCAAATCATATGGTTTGGACCATGAATTGGAAACACATGTCCATCGTTCCCACATATTTTTTTCTTAGCAGATGTGTTTGATAATTGAGGATATGATAATTATAGGATTTTGTGTGTGTTGATAATTAAATGTGTATATATAGATATATTATTGGTTCTAGGTGTGGATTGGGATGGGTGTTATGTTTCGGATCATGTTTCATGAATTGAATGATTTATATTATAGGACCGTTGAGTACATCATTGCATAAAAAAATCAAGTTTAATGAATAAATATAGACTCATGATCAACTCCACTCTTTTTAAAAAAATTATCAAAATCATATTAACTATTTATTTTTTTTAAAACATAAACATAAACATAATCTTGTTATAAATTATAAATATATAATTAATCTGAATTATTTAATCTCTTCTCCCTATTAGATCTCAACCCACTACGGCACCTCCGTCCTCCATCGTAGAGAAACTGTAAATCATCTATACTCACCTCTGATTTTTATTTTATATTTTATATTTTATATTTTTTGAATATTAATATTAAATCGAAATCGGAAGCGAACAGTTTTTCTTCTTCTTCTTCCATTAATATTAATATTTCAGAAATTAAGAGGACAAATTATCTCTTTATTTGAATTTATGTTTGAATCAGATTTTGTTTCTTTTGTTATATAGATTACCATGTCATATTGTTGATTATGGTTCCGTGTCTATAAATCGTGAACAGCTTTTTTTTTTTCTTCCATCTTTCTGTATCATTAATTTACATGATTTTGTTAGTTCTGTTAAACCCAGTTAGAAGAAAACATATATTTCTGATAGTTGGTATGGAGATTTGGATTGAATTAAGAATATGATTTTCATAGTGTCAGATTTTTAACTTAGTTTTGACAGTTTGGAGTTTATAAATTCAGATTCTTTGAAGTAACAGAAGTAATGGGCTTCGTCTGTATTTATATTCTGTTTTAGACAATATTGGTTCTGGCTCGCATTTGTTATTATTTTTTTTTTGATGTTTTATTAAGATAATTTGTGTGAATAAGTCATTTTAAGACAATTTTTTCCTTCTGGTCTTGGTTTAAAACAGTTTGTCCTAATGTGTACTGACTTTTTTTTTTTTTTTGAACAAGGTGTACTGACTTTAATTTGTGTGTATTAGATACGATTGTGTGTATTATATATGGATGTGCACTAAATCTGAGCATGTTAATGAACAGATGTAAGCATCCATTTTATGAAGTTTTAATACATATCGGAATGTATTATCAAATATGTAAAACAATTATATGTATCTGTTTACATGTGGTATAATCATAATAAGTTGTAAGTCTTCCCATTTAATAACTTCTGTTGTGGGCAACTTATTTATGGCCTTAATTGGTTCCATATTAGTGTATCAGTTGTGTACTTTCAGAAATTTAGAGGACAAATTATCTCTTTATTTGAATTTATGTTTGAATCAGATTTTGTTTCTTTTGTTATATAGATTACCATGTCATATTGTTCATTATGGTTTCATGTCTATAAATCGTGAACAATTTTTTTTTTTTCTTCCATCTTTCTGTATCATTAATTTACATGATTTTGTTAGTTCTGCTAAGCCTAGTTAGAAGAAAACATGTATCATCATCAATTCATATAGTTTTGCATTTTTTATTAGTTGGGTAATGAATTCAGTTTCTGCTTGAAATTTCAGATTTTGCCTTCAAAGGCTTGCGAAGAAAACAAAAAATTTCCAGGTGAGATTCTAATTGCGAACATATTCAGTTTGCTTTGAAATCCTTGACTTGGGTTCATTTCTGTTTATCATCATTTCCACAAAAATGCATAGTCAGTCTATACATGCGTAATAAAATTTTCAATACATTTCATTATGTATTCACCTTAAACTGGGGATATGACTCATGAGAGCAGGGGCATTATTCATTCTTCATAGCAGATGACAGAAAATGAAACACTTCTCACCTAATTTAAGTGTTTTTAGGTGAGAATATGGCTATGTAGGTGAGAATATTTAGGTGAGAATATGGCTACATAGCCATATCAGAAAATGAAAATTTTCTGATTATTAGGTGAGAATATTTTCTGATTATTTACTACATAGCCCTGGGGCATTATTCAAAATATCCAGAAATGTGACATTTCATGGTGTTTTTAACTTCTATTTTTTGATTAATGTGACGAAATGAAACAAAATTATTACCATTTGTAAATATATACCCAAAAAATAAATAAATAAATCAAAGATCTCTAATAACGTGACATAAAGAAAAATTCCTAAGAACAAGCTGGTGCTTTGAAATCTTTAAGAGTTGCAAAAACAATAGAATCAGGTGCAACACTGATAGGGTTTGAAGCATGCACGGGCACTGGATACATAGCTGGTATATCCTTTGACTCTGTGAGCACCAAGGGGACACCATTTAACATCAACACATCAATTTGAATATTGCCATCTCTTGGAGTCAAGTGGTACTCTTCCCTGTGGATTTGTTGTTGGTTATCATCATAGTTGTCAGGATAGAAGTTCAAGTCATCCGCAACCGAAACTTCATAGGTAGTAGAATTTGACATGTTGATTAGAAGCAGTGAAATGCCCGACTGAGAAAAAATAGAGTAAATGAATTTAATTAATGAAGTGATAGCTAAATGATATATTATTGAGAAGAAAGAGAAATTAAGCTAAAAAAGGTTAAGAATATTGCGCTTACTTCTTTCTTTGAACAATGAGAATATACGCATAGATAAGGGGAACTGTCATAAGTGGTCTGAAGTACAATCTTTCCCATTAAGCGATGCCACAGAAGAGCACTGTAGAAGAGCCAACCAAACATTAATATAGAATAAATGTGTCAAAATGATAATTTCAGCTTTATTAAATAGTAAAGGGTTTTAGAAAATCTCAATATTGACTAACCCGTAATAATCCGAATTAGGGATAAATGTTGTAGTGTTGAGAAGGCCATAATTTCCTCCAATCAATGCCTGTCTGCAGAAAACCAATTTTAGGAAAATATTCTGATATGGCTATGTAGGAAAATTATCCAGTTTTATGTCATATTTCTGGGTATTTTTCCAAAAATGAAAAGCAGATGACAGAAAATGAAAACGCAACTAAACCAGTTCATGTATATATAATCATAAATATTAAAATGATGGCCATTTTTTAGAATTTCATTGTCTCTCTTGTTTTTCACAAAAAACACAAACAGGAAAACAACTAAACGTGCTAGAAAATTATTGTTCTATTGGTCACATGATCGGGGGTCACTATTTCTAAGCGACGATAAGTTTCAATCTCATGTCGATTTTATCTCACACTGCAGGGAATAAGTTATTCAAAGCTGCGAATTTACCACCTATAGTCGGCCTCTGTGAGTATTTAACACACCTCTTACTCTGTTTTTCCTGGCTAATTAAGTTCAAAACAAAAACCTATTAAATTCAATAAGATTGATAGTTCCTTTAATGTATTTAATTTTACTTTGAATTGGGTTTTTATTTTTGCAGGGGAACTTCAATCTTTCGTGGGAATGCAGATTTTTATGTGAAGACAGTCATATCTTGCTGCTTGCTGTTGCTTTAATGGGATGCAGATTTTATGTCAAAGTTGATGATGATGTTCAGAAATATAGGTAAGAATATTTGTTTTTAGTACTTGATATAAAAATAAATGCATACATGAAGTCTAAAATTCCAATACATAGATGCAAGACACTCAATGTGTTCTACAACTTTTAAATTCCAAATCGGGGTACGAAACTTCAGATGCCATGTTCATAATGAACTCTAAATTCAAAATCTACGACTGATATGATTTGTTCAACAATTATTACTTGAAAAAATGAAATTATATATGTTTGGTAACTCTACAAATTTATTTTTATTTGGTGCACTTGGGTAAAGAGTTGTAAATTTACAGCCAATAGGAGACTTTGGCAAAGATACAGGAAAAAGCCACGGGTGCATATGGATGTATAGAATCTGGTCCTGTCCTTGCTCAGAAGTAAGTGGAACTTTGGTCTTAAAATTCTTGCTTATGGTGTTAGAGTGTTAAGCTTTAGAGTCTTACATCTGGAAAAGTCCTAGAACTTATCTTTGGAAAATTCGGGGAGGTAAGAGAACAGGATTTTAAAAGAATTGGTTTACTTACATCTCGATAACCAGTTAAGTTACACTCTCACATGGTGTTAAAAGAATGAGAGATCAAAAAAAGAAACGTGTGAATCACTGAAGCCACATTTTTTGCACAGAGAGAGAAAGGTGGGTTTTGGATGATGATACAAATTATGGTTTTTGATTCTGCAAATGTGAGAGAAGTGTGGGTTTTTTGATCTCTGCAAATGTGTGTGTATATTATGTATGAGGAATTTGGGGATCCTAGAGGTGAAGCAGATGAAGAAAAAATGAAAACATGTCTCTGGGAAATGTGTTGTTTGCTCCCCAATGGGGTTGGTGAATAGCATGAGTCTAGAGAGAGAATCTCTCTTATCCTTTTTTTTTTAAAAAGTTAATTACACTTTTGTTGAGGCACATCTGTCTATAGCTATATTTATACTAGTAAAAGTGAGTTTTTGTGAAGAGTTCTGTGAATTTAATCCGAACATTATTTTTTAATCCTAAACATTAATCTTACACCGTGCCTTACAGGCACGGATACGCTAGTATAATAATATAGTACAAGTTTTAAAATTTGAATATAATCCAAAAAGAATGTATAAACTTACTTATTATGTGATATGTTCTAACGCAATATAAGTCAGTTATATATATGTCTACGCTAAGTGTCTTGTGTTGTAGGACATGGCAAAACCTATTTGGAGGCTATTCTGTACGAGCCCCCAGAAGCTCATTCTCCCCCCGAACCCAGTTAGAAGGGCGGGATGACTCGAGAGTCTGGTCAGGCAAGCCCATCCAACACTTGACCATCCATGGAAGATCCGTTTACTTACAGGCTGACCCTGAATTGAGGAACTTATTATCTGGAGATTTAGCCGAGATAGCACCCCGCGAAAGGTCCAATTAGGACCAACCCACGTTGTTTGGTCTTGCTCCAAGATATAGAACCACCATATTCCTGGTCGCACCTCTAACCTGTAGGCTTGCAAAGAGGAGGGCCTACATATCTTAGTAGCCACCTTCGCACCCCACGACACCACCTCCCAGCACAAATTTGTCTATACCCCAGCTGTGGACTTTACCGACGGTGCATCCATCCTGGAGACACCGATTACGGATTACTGACAGGAATTTCTGGGGTTATGATCACGGTGCTCCCGGTTTAACGTGTTCAGATAGTATGGAGCCTGCTTCGGAGTTTGAGCTATGGGTGGGAGTTGAGTCCATCATGCAAAGTGAGTTTCCCGGGAGTTGTTTCATGACCTAATTCTCCGAAGCCAGTCTCCTGGTGGCCTAATGGGTCATTTAGCTACTGACCAGAGACCCTTTTGTGAGCTGACCATGATAGTCTAATCTTTGTATTAGTAGGATTAGACATTGTTTGGACCGCCAACTGGCACCTTATAAATGGTAACAAGAGTAATCTGGTAATTAATGTGAGTTATATGTGGTAAATGTTTTAAATGATTATAATTATATATAAAAGTGGTGATATAATAGCAAAACAATATGCTGTGGCCCTGTTTGGTAGAAGCTGTGAGAAGGTGCTTATAGCTATGCTAACAGCTATAGCTTATAACTTTCAGCTAGCTGAGTTCCAGCTTATTTAAAGCATCTTCTTGCCCACTCAAAGAATAAGCTGTTCTGACTCCACAAAGCTATAAAGTTATAAGCTATAAGCTAAACCAAACACATAAAATAGCTTAAATTAAGCGAAAGCTTGAAAAAGCGAATTTAAGCTGTACCAAACAGGGCCTGTGTAACAAAATGGTGGGGTAATAAAATAGAACTATATGTTACATTATGACGTTGTTCAAAATTGTTTTCAATATGATATCAACGCTTCCATCATTTTTACCTTTAGTAAATGGCCAAACGATGGAAAATGAAAAACGATCATTAATCAGCGGTAACAATCCCAACGGAAAACAGATCATGGAAAAAGGCAGTCACCAACTTTTTACCAGGCCTGCAAAGCAGCATAACCAATGGACAGGAGAAAGACGAGAAGGATCGACTACGATCAAACAATTCAAGAATCTGAAACCCACTACGTTTATCGGCAAGTCCAAACCCACTAAGTACAGAGGCTTGGGTCAGGACATGGAAAAATCTTCCGCGCACTACCCTTGCACAGAAAGACAAAGGTGACGTTTGCCCCACCTTCACCTTCAAAGACGGATGCACATGAATGGTGGCTCCTTACCCTTGGAAAAGGAAGATATTGTGACTTGGCGAGGTTTTAGAAGTATTCTATGAAAAGTACTTCCAGATTCAACTACGAGAACAAAAAGCGTCAGAATTCAACATCCTAAGGAAAGGAACCATGACAGGGCCGAAATATGAAAAGTAAGTTCACACAGCTGGCATCGGTTTGCGACATAATCATTCCACCGAAGCCCGAAAAGCCAGAAAATTTGAAGCAGGGTGGATCCTGAAATTAAGGAAGGCTGGAGGTTCTAAACTACTAACCGTACCGCGGCGGTGGTAGATCGAGCGTAACATTCCGGAAAAAGAAAATTAAAAGCTTTGCGATCTGGGGGCCAAGTCAATGAAGCGATTTTGGAAAAAGAGATAACAGAAGGCCCCACGTGTCGCACCTCCCAAGAGAATAAATACAAGCAAACCAGTTCAACCGTCCAACCAATCAAAGTCCTACAACCCTAAAGGTGGATCAATTCCAGCTTGGCTTCTACTGTATACAACCCCTCAATACTGTTTACTGTAATAGCTGATTGATTACCAATAATCACCGATACTACTAATGGAACTGATAATGACTGATAACTGACTGAGAATTGAACTGATTAGGTACTGAACTGACTGCCCGAAAATTGAAACTGAAATTGAGTGATATAATCTGTTTGAAATTGCATTTTATCCTGTTGACTGTTGTTTATCTGTTCGTGTTTATGTTTAAACTATTAATTGAAGGCCTTAAATCGAGACCGAATTAGAAACACGACTGATGTTCCATGAACCTCGTAATAATGTGATTTATGGGTATTTACCTGAAAACCTAATTAGGTATTGATAAATTAGATTAAAATAAGACAATTAAAGAGTTTGAGTAATTACACTTTGCCACTAGTGGGGCCTTTGTTTATCATATTGAAGGCCTTGTGTATGCTTATCAAAAAATTTCCTCAGTCTTCTCTGTTCTTAACTCGACCTTGAAGGGAGAGAGGGAGAGAAATAAATCTCAAAATTGACGAGGTGTATCTGCGATTTGAGCCCTCACTCTAATTCTACACCTAAGGTAGATCATTCATCATCTAATGTGTCTTTGAGTTATTCTTTGCATGATTCTGCTTCATTGTAAAAATAAGTCATGATTGGTTCATTGCTATTGAATGAAGCTTAATTGTTGCATGCATGTACATATATTGGAAGTTTTAGTGTAGTTCATAATATCCCTTCACATGCATGTTCATAATTTTGTAATGGTCCATGTTTTCCACTTGTTTTTGGATCAATTTGCTCCCTAGACACAATTGAAGCTTTAAAATGATTTAAAGATCATGCAATGTCATGTTTGAGGATATGTCCTTGGAAATGGTTTGAAATTGGGTTTGAATAAAACACCCTTGGCTGATTTCTCAATTGAGTTTGAAATCATGTTTAACTATGATTTTACATGTGTTTCTGGATAATTTAGCCCAAGAGTCCGAGTTTAGATGCTATTTGAACTTGGTTTTGGAGCTTGGAGGTGCAATCTGGGTTAGATTTCGACTTCCCGCTCGGAGCGGGGGAAAGTGTCGCTCGAGCGTGGAAATCCAGGCATCCCCCAGCATCTCTCTGACTGTTACAGTCCCCGCTCGAGCGGAGGATTGGGCCCCGCTGACGGAGTCCTTGTCTCAAGCTCGAGCGGCGTCGAGCGGAGATTTCACCCATCAGTACTTTTTACAGTAAGCCTCGAGCGGGGAAGTTTACGCTCGAGCTGTACCTTTGTTGGCATGACCGCTCGAGCGGGGAAACGTGCGCTCGAGCGGGACTCTGTTTTTCTGAAACATGCTTTTAATGTGCACTTTGCATCCTCATCCTGTTCTAGGCATTCTTAGGCCTAGTTTTTAAGCATCTGTTAGGATATAGATGTAGAATCAACACCGAGGCATTAGGGAATTAAAGTTGTTATCTTCCCAACTGTGTAGCTTGGTGTGTGTCAACCTTGAACTGTGTAGGGTTAGCGACTGGGGAGGGCACGCTCTAGCATACTGAGCCCAAACTCTGTGAGTAACAATTGTGTAAAGATATGTTCAACTGATATCTTTTGAATACTGAACTGAACTGTTTACTGAAACTGGTATTACTGATGAATGTATGTCCTTTAATTTCTGAACTTACTGTGGCAATCCTTAAGTACCTAACTGTTTAAACTGTTAAATGTTACTGTTACAGAGATCTCTGTCGGTCTCCCTCGTGGAGCCACTACTGTTTACTGACTGATGGCCTCATACTGTTTCGGTCCTTTTAAGACCTACTGTTACGTTATGCTAATGGATAGCCACATATGACTGTTTAACTATACGCAACTGAAAATACTGACTGAATTGAACCTGTTTCAATACTGTAAGGACATTCATCTAAAACCCCTTTACGCTTATGTTATTCACCTAGGCTTTAGCTCACTGCTCATATATATTAGGTGTAAGGCACCAGACCGCGCTAGGAGGCGTCAGGGTAATTCAGTTTTCTCAACAGCCTTGTGCCTCACTGCAAGGTCCGACCCAACGTGTTAGGCTTAGGGGTGTTTTACAATTCCCCCTTTGTACTGTTTCACTGCTTTGCTATAGACTGAATGTTTAAACCGACTGTTCAATAAGGGTTGAGTCCCTGGTCGGACGATTGTAAATATTGTGCATACTGTTCTGTACTGGTTACGTATAATCATGAAAAATCTTTTTGGCATACAGCATGTCACAGGCTCATTGACATTGTTTAATTACTGTATTGGCTTCCGCCACCCCTACCTCTGTTTTCTGTATTACTGTAAGCAGGCCCTTCGGTAATCTCGATTACTGGCCGGTTACGGTGCAACCCATAGGCCGGGTTTGGTTGTGACATCTACCTATGGAAAGACTCATTGGGGACCATGCGCAATACGAAGCATGCTTTAGATGTGGCCAAGTTGGCCATTTACTGAGAAAATGTCCAAAGCTCGTTCGCGCCCTTTGAACCAGTCAGAAAACCGCAGTACCTGAAGGAGCGAGAAAAGACCAAAAAACGCCAAGGAAGGCTTGCCCGGTGCTGGAACCCAGAAAAGTTACTGAAAATGTTGTGTCAGGTACACTCTTATTGTGGTCACTTAGCCCATGTTCTCTTGACTCGGTTCAATCCCATTCTTTTGTTACACCCACACTTTGCTTACCAGTAACCGCCAATGACCTGAAACCCTTATGGGATACATACCTACTGTTTTCCCTCTGAAATTCCACCCTAGTACTGATGTGGTATCAAATCTTGCACTGTATCCTTAAAAGGTGAAACCTACACGTAACTTGATACCCCTTGGCATTTAGTACCTTTGATGTAATCCTTAGGAATGGATGGCTAGCTGCTATCGTGCCTCTATTGATTGTAAAGCCAAAGGTGTTCCTCAGGTCCACCAAAACCCAACTCGAGCTTGTCTCGAAGGACTAGAGCCTCTCCCCTCCCTGTATTATATCCTTCATAACAGTCCAATGCTGCTAAGAAAGGGTTGTTGTGGTTGTATCTGTTATGTGATTGATACTAACAAGAGACCCCACACTTGATGCAATCCCCGTAGTTCGAGAATTTTTCGGAACATGTTTCCTGAAGACCTGCCTGGTAAACCCCTAGTTGATCGGGAAATCGAGTTCACCAATGAAACTACAACCTGGTACCCAACCAATCTCAAGACCCCTTACCGCATGTCTATGGCAGATGAAAGAACTAAAAACTCAACTCCAAGAATTACTGAATAAAGAGCTCATCCGACCAAAGTACTTCACCATGAAGAGCTCTGGTGCTGTTCGAAAGAAAAAGATGGTACAATGAGGTTAATGTATCGACTATCGAGAACAAATAAAGTCACCATCAAAAAATCGGTACCCCTGCCAAGAATCGACGACTTGTTTGATCAACTGCAGGCGGCCCAAGTGTTCTCAAAAAGTGATTGCGTTCTGGTTACCAATCAACTAAAAGTCAAAACGGAAAGCATCGGAAAAGACTGCCTTAGGACCCGTTATGGCACTACGAGTTCCTTGTCATCCTTTGGCGTCACCAATGCTCCAGCGGCCTTAGGACCTCATAATCGAGTGTTCAAAACCTATCTTGACGAGTTTCGTCATTGTTCAATAGACGACATCTCATATACTCTAAATCGCCAGAAGATCTGAAACACCACTTGCGAAAAGTTCTACACACATTACGTGATCACAAACTTTAATGCCAAGTTAAGAAATGCGAATTCTGGATCCACTAGGTACACTTCCTCAGTCACGTCATTAACAAAGATGGCATTCATTGATCCCAAAGGTTGCAGCAATCAATGATTGGCCACGACCTACTAACGAACGAGATTTCGAAGCTTCTTGGGCTAGCCGGCTATCTACCGGCGCTTTTTGTGCAAGACTCTCGAAGATAGCTTATCATTGACCCAGACTAACTCAAAAGAACACACCCCGTTGAATGGACGGACAAGCAGGAACGTTGCTTCCAAGAATTGAAGGACAGACTCGTGACGCTCCAATACTAGCTGCTCCCCATGGAAGCAGAAGGGTTTAATTTAAGCGATGCTATATACAATGGTTTGGGTGCGTTCTTATGCAAAACGGGAAGGTCAATTGCTTATGCCTCTCGCCAACTAAAACTCCACGAAAGGAACTATCCAACTCATGATCTGAATTGGCTGCGGTGATCTTCGCCCTCAAATCGGCGTCATTATCTCTAATGGAGAAGCCTGCGAAATTCACACCGATCACAAAAGTCTCAAATATCTGTTTACACAAAAAGGAATTGAATATGAGGCAACGACATGGCTAGAATTCATGAAGGACTACGATATAGAGATTCCCAATCATCATCCCGGCAAAGCAATGTAGTAGCAAGACGCACTAAGTCGAAAAACGACCAAAAGTGTTGGCATGTACACGGTCGTTCCCTGCAAGATCCATGGATTGCTCCGCCAACATAATCGTGAAACCCCGTTGTGAAAGAAATTAGAGCCCGCCAATGTGGAAAAGTCAATACTTTTGAAGAAAAAGTACGAGGAACAAGGAAACACACTGATGCCTGACTTTACATTAGAAATGGGATACTAAATTCGAAATGAAATTTGCCGTACCCGACCCCTTCCAGAACTCAGAGAATAAGGATATTGGTAGAAGCTCATAACTCGAGTTGCAATCCTATCCTGGCAATCGAAGATGTATCACGATCTGAATGAATACTTTTTGGTGCGAACGCGGAAGAAGAAGACATAGCAAGCCATTCTCCAAATGCTGCGTTGTCAACAAGTTAAAGCGGAACAGAGAGACCCTCAGGAATGTTGCAACGCACTCCCTATTCCTAAATGGAAGTGGGAACGACATTACTATGGACTTCGTGTCGGGGCTACCCACAATCTTTTTCAAAGAATGATGCAATATGGCTAATAGTAGACCCCGATTAACAAAGTCAGCACACTTTCTAACAATCAAATCATGTACCCTCCAAATAAGTTTCCACTTTATATATCAAGAGATGTTCGGTTGCTGGTATCCCAGTATCATCGTGTCTGACCGAAATCCTCGTTTCGTGTCTCAATTTCTGAATAGATTACAAGAAGCTAACTACACTGAAATTCATCAGCACGGCCCTATCATCCGCAAACCGATGGGCAATTGAAAGAACAATCCATAACGTTGGAAGACAT